TGACACTTGTTTTTGTTTTTTTTTTGATACGATCAAAGCAGATTTCCCAAGTTCACACTTTCCTCCACTATAGTAAGATTGTGAAGGGTGACAAAAGTATGTATTAATGATATGACAACTTATAAATTAGTCTCCCATTCAAATATTTCTTTTAAATCCCAGGACCCCTTCCCTCACCACCATACCCCCCATGGTGGCAAACACTTACAATCCAAATACATTTCTCACAGAAGTGGAAGGTTTCATGATATCAAGGAAAGGGAAGTTGGTAAAGCAGGTGGCAAAGGATCTATAAAGTTAAATGAAGGTAAGTCAACAGGGACGATGACAATACTGATGCTTTAGAAGAGTATACTTTGAGTGTCAAATAATTAATCAAGGCCCTTGGGAAAACTGGCAAAACCCTCACAAAAGTTTACAAAACGATCTTCTTTTTGACTATGGTATGAAAGTCAAATGTGAAAGAAAGCATGTTATAAGGTGCTTCACATTTTATAAAAAATAATTAGGCCAACAATACCTCCTTGATTTATTACTCATTCATTCTAATATGGACATAGGTGTACTTACAACATAAATTTTATTCAATATAGGGTTGAATAAATGTATTTTAGTAACACTATATTTTATTTTCAAAAAAAGTCCCTGCAAACCTTTTCCTCACTAATAGCTCTGAAACGTGGTTCCTGTTTTAAGTAGCTTTACATTAAGGAGGCTTTGCCAGTGCTGATCACACAGTGCTAATCAAGACTTCCTACACTAATGAGGCAGAACTTCTCTAGTAGTAACCATCTGATGTCTTGTGTCTATTTACATGTTAAAGTTTCACTCTTTTTTTTGGGGGGGGGGAAATAACTTATTTACCCTTAGGTGTTTCCTATAGGATCCCTTCCAAATGGTGACATTATTAAAAGTAATAGTAGTGTCTCCAAAGGCAGCTTATGGTGAGGGCACAGACTTTGGAATCAACTTGGAATCAGACTTACCTTTGAATCTGCTTCTGCCACTAAATAGGCATATATGGTAATGAGCAAATTATGTGTCTTCTCTAAACTTGGGTATCTTCCAATTGTGAAAATGAAGCAAAATTGCTCCCTCACAAGATTGTGGTGAAGGTCAGGTGCGAGCATGTGTACATCGCCATGTACAGAGAAGGCATTCAATAATGTGGCAGCTGTGGCAGTGCTGTTTGTTTTTTATTTGTTTGACTGCCAAAGTTCCCTTGTGATCTTAATTTGTTGATTATTTTATACATTCAGAATCTTTGCATGTGTTTTGCAATGTGCATCTAGGGCTGTTAGGCTGTAAAAAGTAGCTAGGCTATATTAAAAGTAGCTAAATATGACTAATATTGAAAATGTACCTTCAGGAATGCCTTGTTGGGTAAATCTCTTAGAATGAATTCTAAATTATCTTGTAAAGTTTTGAAAAAGTCACAATGAGGTTTTCAGAATCTACATTGTGAAATTTTGGTTGACTTCTTCTGTAAGTGAGATGGTTGATATTTACATGGGGAAAACCTTAATAAAAGCCCCCCTTCTCCACACTAAAAAAAATTTATAAAAAAATCTTCGCTTAAAATTAAGGAACTGTCTTTTATCACACAGAGAGACCCATGCTCAGCACAATCTTGAAAGTCAGATGCTTCTGGATTGGAACTCTTCTTCAACTGCTTCTTGGTTGTGTGACCCCACTTGATCTACATAATATTTCTAAGCTGGGTATCTTCATCCGTGAAGTTGGAGATGATGATAATGCCTATGTCGGGGTTGTCATGAGGACATCTATACTAATAAAAGAGTAATATGCTAATTAGACTGGACATCTTCTGGTCCTACGACCTTCTGCACAAAGCCAAGGCAGAGGTGGTTAGGGGTGATCAGGCCAGCAGGGGAACGGTTACGGAGTGATCAGACCAACAGAGAAGCAGTTAGGGGGCAATCTGGCCAGCAGGGAAGCAGTTAGGGAGCAATCAGGCCAGCAGGGAAGCAGTTAGGGAGCAATCAGGCCAGCAGGCAGAGGTGGTTAGGGGCGATCAGGCAGGCAGGCAGGCGAGCACTTAGGAGCCAGTGGTCCTGGATTGCGAGAGGGATGTCCACACAGATTGGATCTAAACCAAAAGTTGAACATCCCCCGAGGGGTCCTGAATTGGAGAATGTGCAGGCTGGGCTGAGGGAACTCCCCCTGCCCCGCCCTATGAATGAATTTCGTGCACTGGGCCTCTAGTTTCATATAAAACATTCACGTGTCCATACAGCCCAGCACATAAAAGGTGCTTAATAATTATTGACTATTTTTTATAAAATCTTCGAATTCACAAGTTAACAGGTATGTCATGTTTTGTTCAAAAATAGTAAAAGTTTAACACAAAAACAAAAATTAAGTTCACTTGAGGTTCAAACATCAAATTATAGGCTTTGGTCTTTTGCCCCTGGAGTTTCCTATATCTGAGCCTTCCTCTGTTACTTCCCCCAGGAACTTCATTTCTGCCCCAGTGCTTCTCAATGGCCTCCCTACCCCCTCCCCCAAGAACAGCGAGGGGAGGGGGCAGTGGGGGTGAGGAGATCTTATTACAAATTGGCAAGGAGATTCTCCATCCCCTCCTTCTCTGAGACTCTGGTATGTACTTCCATGGGTCCGATTAAGTCAGATATTATTCTGTTTACTCAGCTAAGGCCAGGAGGTAACAATGGTTGACATTTGGTATTTGCCTAACAGCACCAGAGACTACACACTAGGTGAGTTACAAACATTATTTTGACGCTTCATAACAGTTAGGCAAGGTAGATACCACCTTCCCTATTTTTAAGACGGGAAGGCCGAAGGTGTGAGCTGGTAAGTTGCTCAAAGTCCCACAGCTCTGGTGATGGCAGCACCAGTGGCCATAAGGATCAAGTTGATGCATTCATCGGCTTGCCATGGCTCTCAGGGCTTTTCTACAATACTTCTGGGAAAGGCCTGTCCTGTCTTCCAGAGAGGCCAGCGGCCCGCTCATGCTGGCGCTAACGCCTATCTGTGCCATCACACCATCTCATTCATGTGTGACTTTTAACCTTTTTTAAAAAACTAGTTTTATTAATTTCGGAGAGAAGGGACAGGGAGAAACATCAACGATGAGAGAGAGTCATCGATCAGCTGCCTCCTGCACACCCCACAGGGGGATCAAGCCCCAACCCAGGAGTGTACCCCGACTGGGAATCGAATGGTGACCTCGTGGTTCATGGGCTCACGCCAGCGGGGCACATTTAACCTTTTTATACCATTTTATGGCCCGGCACCACCAACGTGTATACAGAATACTAAATGTACCAACGTGTATACGGAATACTAAATCCTTATGCAGACACACGGCAATACATGCACCCACTATACTATACAGTGGATGTTGTAGATCTGATAAACACAACTCCAGATATCAGAGAAGTAAATAAACGACCCTTTCCTCCATCCCTGTCATTTCTATTCCATTTCCCCTAGCAAATAACTGCATTTCAAACTGCGCTCGTTCTAGAAAGCAGAATCTTCCAGATATTGTGATGCGGAGTCCCACACTGTCTCTCGGAAGGAGGGACAGCTGAGAAGGGGGATGTGTTTCTCCCATTACGGGAAGAATTAAGTTTCTCATCTCTGAATAAGTACCGAATTCGGCAATCATTCCAAAAGTGGAAGTTCAGCGCACAGCGCATTTGAGGGGGAAGCTTGAAGTGCACTAACCATTTAAGGTCAAGAAAGCCACCGGTCAACCCTAAGCACCCGTGCGGGGCAGGGTTTCCAGCTCGGAGGCGACAGGACCTCCATCTGCACCTCTCTTTGTTATTCCAGCTCCGGAGCCAGGCGCAGACACCCCTCCCCAAGCCACCGGGGAGCCTCCCAAGCTGCGGGCTCCCGCCTGCGCCCAGGTCCCCTCTCTTCTTAACACACTTAGGGCAAACGCCCGGGGAGTGGGGCGCCCCGCCCGGCCCCCGCGGGGGTCCGGAGCCCGGCGGCGGCGCGCACAGCCCGTGGGGCGGGGACGCGGGGCCGCGCGGCGGGGCGGGCGGCTGCCGGCGCCGCTCCCCTTTGTTCGCAGGCCCCCGCAGCCCGCACTTCCTCCGGGGCCGCCCCGCGCTCACCCGGGCAGCCCGGGGGTGGGGTGGGGTGGGGTGGGGGGAATTGTTTAGGAAGGGGTTTTTGGTGCCTTTTTCTTTCCTTGCTTTTCCGTTTTACTTTTTAGACCTCCCCGGCAGGGCCTCTCTCCCCCTCGCGGTGCCGGGGGTCCCCGCGCCTGGGAGCGAGGCGGGGCGGGAAGGGACACTGCCCTCCGCCGCCCGCTCCTCCTCCGGGAGGCATCCCGACCCCGCCGTCCGGCGGCCTCCTCCGGACCCGCCCCGGCCACCGGGATGGCGACGCGGGATCCCCCACTTCCTCCTCCCCTCCTCTCCGAGGGGCGCCGGCTCCGGGGCGCCCGGGCGGCCGGCTCGGCCGAGCACCGGCTGTCCGAGCCGAGCCTCGGCGCCGGTGGAGCCCAAGGCGCCCTGGAGCCGGAGCGATGGCCGCCCGGAGGCCCGCCCCGTCCCCCGCGCTCGCCGGCGCTCCGGGCCGCGGAGCGGGCCGCGCCCCCTTATATAGGCCTCTAAAAATAGCCCGCCGCGCACCGCCCAGTGAGGCGGCGGCAGCCGCTCCGCGCGCCAATCCGCGCCCGCCGCCGGGGCCGGGCCCCGCCCCGGGCCCCGCTCCGCGCCGCCCATTGGTCCTCAGTGACTTCATGAGCCCCCTGTTTACCGTACATGGTCACACGCGGCCGAAAGGACGCCCTCCTCCTCCGAGATCCCACGGCTGCGCGCGGAGCCGGGCGGAGGGAGGGAGGGAGGGAGGGAGGGAGGGAGTTTGGGGAGGGAGGGGGGGGGGGAGAGCAGGAGGAGGAGAAAAAGGAGGAGGAGGGAGGGGGGGAGGAGGGGAGACTACAAACTAGCAAGGATGGGGTGGGGGTGGGGAGGCAAGAAGGGAAGGGGGGTGGGGAGAGAAGCGATCGCGAGAGAGAGAGAGGAAAAAAAAAAAAAAAAAAAAAAAGCAGCAGCCTTCCAAAATAAAGAGCAAAGATTGCATTAGGAGCGAAACAGCGCTGCAGAAATAGATGGCAGCTCCGTGTCAGTGAGTTCGCGTCCCCCTTCCTGGTCCACGCGCCGGAGTGGCCGGAGCCCTGGCAGGGAACTGTGGCTCCCGGGGAGCAGTCCCCGCGCCTGGCAGCCGCCCGCACTGTACCCGCCGGATGCCTCCTCTCCGTCCACCGCCCCGCTCACGCTCTCCGCTCTCACCGCCTCTTCTGCATTGATTTTTTTTCTCCCCCTTCCTTTTTTTTTTTTTTTTTTTTTTTTTTTTTTTTTTAGTTGACTTGAAACAAAAACAAAACAAAAGGGCCGCTGGATGTCTGCCTCCTTGGGGGGTGAGCCAGACAGACTGACACGCGCGCAGACCCCGCGGTGCTCCGGGGAGGGCTTCGCCTCCCGCTCGGCGCGGCGGCGGCGGCGGCGGCAGCATGGACGTGTTGGCTAGCTATAGTATATTCCAGGAGCTGCAACTTGTCCACGACACCGGCTACTTCTCCGCGTTGCCGTCCCTGGAGGAGACCTGGCAGCAGGTGAACCATTTAAATTACTTGTGTGAACCGTGTAGCGGCGGCGGCGGCGGCGGCGGAGGCGCAGGGGCAGCTGCGTTGGTGTGGGCTTCGGGGTTTGAGTTTTTTGGTTTGTCTTCCACCCCTCTCCACCCCCCCCTTTTTTTTTATAGGGGGGCTGTTTGTTGTTTAAATGGTTTTTTTTGGAGACAGTCATCTGCGTTTACCTCTGCACCCACCCCGTCACCCCAGACCGTGCGGGGCGAGCGGAGCAGCGGGAGCTGCCTGCGCCTCAGTCTCCAGCACGCGTCCCTGCGCGCACGTCGCCGGGCTGGCTGTCCCCTGGCAGGGACCTGCCTCCGCTCACTTGTGGGGTTCGGGGGAGCCAGCGAGTGGGAATGTGGGTTTTCAGGGGTTTTTACGAGCGGTGGTGGCGGACAGGATACCGCGTCCCTACATGCACGAGCTTGGAGCCTTCAATCCTGTTCATTTTTGTGTGCTGACAGCCATCCGATGGGGGTGGAGGGGGGGGGGCGAAGGGAGATAGTATCCATAGAGAAAGGGAAGTTGATTTTGGGATGGGAAGGTGGGCAGCAGCCACAGAGAGAGAGAGGAGCCTGGTGACAAAAGAGACTCCAGGATACGGGGAAGCTGCGCGTAACGCTGACCGTGCATTGTAGGTTTCCCCACGGCATGCCTGCCGGTGTCCTTGTTTCTCTCTCTTTTTGTTTTGTTTTGTTGTTCTGTTTTGTGTGGGGTTAGACAGCGCAACCTCCGACAAAGGGACAGCCTGTGCTCCCGTGCCTCTGACTGGGTCTTGGAGGACTAGTTAAACTCCGAGGATGCTGAAGGGCACCGGTGCCAAGTTGGCCGGGCGTCCCCGGGAGGGCAGAGCAGGGCTGGTGACAAGTTCACTGGGCTCGGTGGAGCGGAATCCAGTGCTGGTCAGTGACAAGTACCAGCGATCTGCTGCGGACACAGCAAGGATAAGGGGCTGCCCCGGGGGGGGGGGGGGGGCATTCTGCAGGAAAGATGGTGGGTGGGAGGTGGGGGGCCCTGGGTATTATTTATTATTATTATTTTTTAAATTCTGCAACGTGCACGAAGGAAAGGGCGAGGGCACGGCTTGGATGTGCACATGGGAAAAGTGTGAACTTGCCCAGTTCCTCTCGGAGAAAGCCCGCTCGCCCTTGGGGAGGGAGGGCTGCGGAGGGAGGCTCGGTGTGTGGCTGCTCTTGTAACTTCGCTGTGTGACAGCGGCTTGTTAGGGCTAATGAACGGCTGATTTTCCTCTGCCAGGATCCAGGGCAGGACTGCCAGGCTGAGGCTGGGCTGCAACAGTGGCTGCTTTAGCGGGTGAGGTTTGGCTCTCGGTACCACCAGCGCAGCAGCTGAGCCGATCCTGACTGTACTATTGTTACCAGCCACTGCGGACCCTGACTAGAGCCTGCCAGTCAGCTCCCCTCCAGGCATTGGCCTCCAGCGTCTGGGTGTCCACACAGGCATTCTGGGTGTCCACACAGGCCCGAGGATGCCTGACTTTTCTCCCTCTGAATGCACACACAACTCGCACGTTTTTTTTTTTTTTAGCAGAAGGTGTGTTTCTTCAGGGCATCCTTCCCCCCATCCGTAATAAAACTGCACCTCTCTTCCCTCCTCTTAGTTCACATCCTAATGAAACCGAAGTGCCGGAATTCCATTTTCTGAACTAGCCTTCCTTTCACACGGTCAGCCCCGCTGGTGTCAAATGGTTGGGTATTAGCAGCTGTCTAGACAGGTTAGGAAGGGAATCTGCTGGGTTAGTCAGCCTGCCTAAGGCAGCTCTTGTTTGTGACGAACAGAGGGAAGAAAAAAGTTGGCTCTATTTGTTTCAGCGTTCCCTCCAGATGAATCACACAACTTTGTTTTGGTTCAAGTGTTCACAGTAGTAAAGCCTGCTTTTGGGGGAAGGCCTCTCTGGAGGAAACTGGCTTTTCTAGATCGGCTTAGACGTCCCTGAGAAAGTCTAGATCTGTAAACAAACATCACTGGCTCGATAATTCGGGGATGTGTTCCATCTATTGTTTGCTCAGAAGCCTTCTCAGCTTTTCCTTACCCCCAGTCCTCCCTCCCCCCTCCTCCCACCCCCCTTCCAGGAACCTCTTTCACCGCCCCCCCCCCCACCTCCCTCCAACTGCCTTGCCTTAACCCTCTCCAACTGCCAACTAACCTCCTCTTAAGAGCTGTTGCCAAGCTGTGCCAGAGCACACACATACCGAAGCATAACTTGTGGGGAAGCACTGCTAAGGAACATATGGCTCCGAGAAGCTGGCTGCTGTGGACTCTGTAGTCACAGCTGCTCTACATAAAGGTGACTCTGACTCTTTAACTTCACACTGACGACAAAACCTCCAACCTCTACCTCTTCCTTCCCTTTTCTTCCTACTCCCATTCCCTCTTCTGAGTGTAAGGCGGGGAGAGGGGGGTGCTTATATGCACTGTTGGTTCCAAATCAACCATCAGATGGTGAAATGTTGGTTGAGACTCCTTTGCTCAAAAAAAGGCTCAAGAACCCCGGGCAGGAGGAAGTTTCCCCACGCCCTGGAGTAATCAGATTGCAGAGGTCAAATAAGGAGCAATTATGAGATGTTCTCCTGAAAGTGAGCAGTGTACCTGGTTTTGAGGAGATGAGTGAAGTGCAGAGAGTCCGAATAATCTGATTTGACTTCGTTTATGGAGAAGGAATGGCTTGGATGATAAACCCAGGAACATCTGTGCATTTGGAAATTGAGGATGAACTATTGGAGGGTTTTATTTTAAACACATGGTCTGAGATAACCGTCCTGCTTAATAGTCAGTGAGCCTACGACGGCCCTCCTGCCACGGATTCATATTTTGACACTGAGTTTTCAGTCAGTGATACCGTGTCCACATGCAACCCCAACTCTGAAAATCATTGCGGGCGTAATTTTAAAACCCAGATGGACTTCCTACATTAACTGCTCTCCACTCCTGGGCTCTGGCTGCACACTTAAGCACTTGGCCCAAGTAACATCATCCCTGCCTGTCATATAACTATAAATTACACTGTGCTTATGTGGTCTTTTATTTTATGGAATTCAGCTGACGCACAAGTCTTAAGGCTACCAGCCTTCACCTCTTTGGAAATTTGCAGGAAAATTTTCCAGGAGCTGTCTGGGCAAAAGTAGGGAAAAAGTCAAAAGTATGACAGATGCAAGAGTAGCTTATAGGGTACCACTTGGTGATAGATGAAAGAAGAGCCATTCATGAGTTTTGTTGGCAATAGAAAACAAGTTTCTTTTCTGGACCCACTGTTGAGTTATAAATAAAAAGGATTTGATAAAAATTTTCTGGGTTGTTTGCCTGCGGGAAGCTACAGAGACTTTTAGAATTTGGATATATTCTTTATCCCCAGCCTGCTCTTCCATCCGTGCAGGTCAAGCAACGATGTGCACTTAGCTGTGCTGTCTGAGTCTTAGCTGCACTTAGCTGTGCTTCATGCCATTGAGGAGCATGGCATGTTTACTTGCCGTCTCTTATGGAATTATGCTTGTTGTTAATGCTGATTCATAATTGGCAGATGGGGTCAGCTTCAGGCCTCCCTTTTGCTCAGAGAAAAATTTTCCACTGCTACTGGAAACAAATAAATAAATCATAGAACATTCCTCCCTCCTCCCCCATTTCCCCATTGTTTTAAACTAATGGCATACTTGGCTACTGTGCGGACTCTAACGTCCCCGTAGCGCTGCAATTTCAGCTCGGCTTCAGACATCCTGAAGCACTCTTGCAAGGGCCTTCTGCACGAGGCGTCTCTGGGGGACAACCTCCAAAAATGGTTGCCTTCCAAGAACAGCCTCGTGGTGCGAGGGATGGGCTGAGATCTGTGAGCTGTGCCGCTTCTCCCTCTCGCAGGTGACCTGGCCTCTGCAGGCCGCCTTCTCTGGGCCCGAGCAGCCGGGTGCTGTCTCAGCCAGAAAGACAAAGCCAGCCGGAGGGTCCCTGCCTCCGCAGGTTTGCCTCTGTCCCCAGTTTGCAGGAACCCTCGTCATGAATTAGAATTTCTTGGCAACAGCACCACCCAGGGAAATGTGTAGACACAAAGGAGCCTTACTAACCACACGGAAAGGATAACATAGCTGCTGCTTTGTAAAAAGAAAGAAAGAAAGGAAAAAAAAAGTGATTGGTGTGCTCTTCAGTTACCATAAGTCTGTATGTTATTCTTATTTGAAACTGTCTTGGTAGATTGGGGGGGGGGGTTAGAATTGCCGTTCTCTAGAATGCCTGCGGAAGGAGGCAGTTTCCTAAAGAAAAGGTGGCTTTACAAATGAAAGCACGTGCGAACGCAATCCATCACCCACTTAGCCTTTCTTGAATAGATGCACTCCCATGTTCTTAGCAACAGATACATCTTCGTGGAGGGGTAGGCGTTCTCAGCCATTACCGTTCGCTCAACTTGTTGTTTGGTGTCTGCAAGTGGGTGAATGTTACAGTGCAGATTTTCCTGCTACCTCTGTCTTTAGTGGGCAGTGTGTGTGTGTGTGTGTGTGTGTGTGTGTGTTTGGGGGGGCCATACACGAAGTGGCGACTGCTTTGTTCTCCATGAAACTCCCCCCCCCCCCCCCGCCCCACTTCTTATCCCGATGGAGGATGGGATGGTGGGGTCCGGTCCGTTTAAAGGGCAGGACAGGAGATGCGCTGTGACAGCCGCACCCTGGCGTGATTTATGGACGGGCATGCCCGAGACCTCCAGCCTCCAAATGGGGCTCTTGCTGCCTCCCTGCCCATTCTCAATATAAGTGCCTGTGGGGCCTGTTTGCCTGTCCACTTAAACGGGAAGAGTGTAGAGAGGGTCCTAATGGGGCTTTTAGGAGCCGTTCTCTTATAAATCTTCAGGTTCTTCTCCCTTCGGAGAGTGCCCGTGTTTTACATTTTGAGTACCAGGAGGCACTGCAGTCTTCTTTAATCACTCCGTGCCTATTGGGGGAAGGAGAGTGCAGCCTCCTCCAGCTGGTCCCAGCTGGCTGGTGCTGGAGGGATAGCCGGCCATGCGGGTTAGCAGATGCCCCCTCTCTCTGCCATTCGCAGCATGCGTGAGGGTTTTGTGTGTGTGTGTGTGTGTGTGTGTGTGTGTGTGTGTGTGTGTGTGTTAAGCCACCTTTGCTGAACCCCAAGACTGGCACATGCGGGAAGCGCCTCTGCGATCCTGGTTCCCTCCGTTAGAGCAGCTGCTAGCCTGTGTGCTGGGCCTGCGACTTGCTGAAAGTTTAGGACAGCTCCCCAGCCTAACCTGAGCTGTGCCAGGAGGGTGAGAGGGGTGGAGATTCAGTCTCTACAGAGAAATCCCTTGGCTTTCCCGGACCAGTAAGGGAATGCTTGCTTTGCATACGCGGGTGGAGACATTTTAACCCAAATTATCAAGTCTTGCCAAGCACAGGGATTAGGGAGTTCCACAGCCACTTCTGCTGGTATCTGATCTTTTAAAGGCCCAGGCCACGCGGATGAGGGAAGAAACGCTTCTTCCCCCAGCGATGTGTTATCTTAGAACCTCCACAGGAGAAAACGTCCTTATGCAACGTAGGGTAAGAGGTTATTATGCTGAGCAGGATAAGCCAGTCAGAGAAAGGCACATGGTCACAGGATCTCACTTCCATGTGGAATCTAATGAACAGAATAAACTGACAAACAAAATCGGTCCAGAGGCTTGGGTACATGGAACAGACTTACAGATCTCAGAGGGGAGGGGGAAAGAGATTAACCAAAGAATTTACATGCATAGAGGCATAACCCATGGACACACACACTAGTGTGGGGAAGGCCTGCGGAGGGGAAAGGATTGGGTGGAGGAGGGAGAAGGAGGGGGGTTGATGAGGGACATCTGTAATACTGTCAACCATTAAAAAACAGAGTCCCCGAAATAAACCAGGCATTGGTGTTAATAGGACACGTTTTCACCTAACGCTGGTCACGGTCTTGCTCCTCCCCCTACTTTGCCTTTATTCTCTGCTGCTGATGTGGAGAACTATTTTTATGGCCATGAGTCCCTTTCGGTTTCCTCACTGGGTGTTTTGGTGTTTTGACCCCGAGGACTGAGTGTATTGTGTCTGCGGCGCTCTCGTCCATCACGTGTGTGCTGTGTCCAGGTTACAGCTGAGCAGCGGTGGGATGAGGGCCCAGGGTCAGCCTGCTGCAGATGGGACTTCTGATTTTATAGTGAAACCACTCCTGGCGGGCCTGGTGGATGCACCCAGTCACACCTGGTGGGGGTTTCTTTGTTTATCCTAACACGTGGACAGAATTAAACAGCAAGTGCTTCATTCCTCCATCTGGTTATAGGCACAGTCCTGCTTGGTTGATGCAGAGTTGAACTGGATCTGGATTCTGCCCTGGATGGGCTTGACGTCTGCAGGGGGGAATAAAAGCATGTTCAGAAGTAAGCAATAAAAAACGAGAACACAAATGCCAAAATAAAGACCGTTTAAGTCCTCTGAGTGTTTGAACACTGAACTGTGTGTCTGTTTGTACTTACCACTTGCAACCTTGCAACCTTGTTTATAAAACACGCCTGAGTCTTACTACGTTCGGTTGTTCTTTTAGCTAATGGCATGTCCGTCAGGGGCTGGTGGCCCTCTTAGGACAAATGAGTGTACAGCATGGAAACACATGTCTGTCCGTAATGGCCAGGAAACAGCATCCATGTCTGTGTCATTCGGAAGTGATTAGGGGTGATTAACATAATTAATGTGGAGCCATATGCAATATCTATTTCTGAATATGGGTTTATTGACGTTTCCTGAGGGTCACATTGAAAGTCAGGCCCCAGGCCTGATACCAGAGCTAGGAGCATAGGCTCTTAGGATTTCTTATCCTAAAAGGGTCTTCAAACACGAGGGCTGCACCAGGTGGTTGTGAAAGCCAGACAAGCCATTGATCCTCCACCGTCACCCACTGTTGTTCTCGCCAAAGGGCCCAGGACTCTTCCAGATGCCGAGATCAGCTCCCTTGCTTTTCATCACCCTGTTCTAAATAAACTCACTTAGCATCCTTCCCTCTGCTCTCTCTCTCTCCTTTTAAAGGGAGGCAAGAAAAATCTTGCTTTGACTTTGGGACAGTACTAGTACATGGAATTGTAGAACCGTTTGGGCCCTAAGTGAGTATCTTGAAGAAGGCTTATAGATGTAACTTAATCCCGTTTCCACTTTTAATAATGTGTGGTCACCTGGAAAATGTATGTTGCCCTGAATAACAAAACAGAATATTGTCACTGGAATAATAACAAATAGAGGGGGGTTGGGGCAATTGAGGTAACATGGTGGGGAGTTGGATGGGTGACAGAACTGGCGTTTTATGTAGAAAGCGTCAAATGTGAAATGGCTTTGTCTCTGACCCCTTTCCAACAAAGGGACGGCCAGAAACTAACAGCAATCATGTGCCAATTCAGAAGAATCTTTTAGACGTGTTTTTACACTTTTTGAGAGGATTGGATAGGCAGGGAGGTTGTGATGTTGTACAGATTTAAACACAAAATACTGACTGTTGTGATAAGCAGTTCAGAAAAGAGTCAGCTTCTGGAAGGCTTTTCAACAAGCCCTTTTGGGGCCAGAGGTGGAAGCAGGCCTCATTCTCACCATATCCCCCGGGGGAAAGGAAACATAGGGTTGCTTTCCACTCCTCTGTCCAGTCAGTGTTTGCCCTTCTCGACCCAGTCTCTGGTAGTTATGGTGGTGAACATTCTTTGTTGGAAATCATCTCACAAATCTGTTTCACCTCCAAAATCTTCAGAAGTGACATTTCCATCTCAAATGGAGGTTACTTCATTTCCTCAAAGCTATGATCTACATCTCCAATTTTGGATATTTTCCCTGAGTTTCAGGCTCACATGTCTGAATTGGAAACATGAGACTGGCAATACTACAGTCTTTTGCTGTTGTCCCGGGATCACTAGCTTCAACTCATCAACTTCTTTCCTTCATTTCCTGGCTTTCTGATTTCTTGAGATGAGCTTTCTCCTGTCTCTAGGTTTGAACCTTCAGTCATCTTTGGCTCCTCTCTTTCTCTTAAATCCAATCAGTTGAGAAATCCTGTTGATTTGACTCCCCCCATATGTCATATTCTTCAACTTTTTTCTGTTCCCTCTGCCATTGCCCGGAGGCAGCCCCTGTCACCTCCCCTGGATTGACTTTCTACTTCCGTCACCATGGTTGCAAGTTGTCAGTGGCACCCTGTTACACAGAGGATCGAGCAAAACTTCTAAGAGTCAAGACATTCCAAGACTAGGTTTAGAGAATAGTTACACGTTTCCCCCTTTCCTGGGTAGTAAATGCCATCCAAATGGATGACTGTGCTCTTCCTGTTTCTGTTTTTATGTCATTTCCGTCAGCCTTTCCTTCCTTCCTCTTCACATCCGATTCTCTTTGTCCAAATTCTACCCGTCCTTTAACATGATGTCCTACCTTCTAGGAAACTCCACCCCTTTTCTTTGGCCAACAGTAATTGCTACTATTACATTCTTGTGTAGAACTTTGTACTTCCTCATGCTGCTTTTAAGTTTTGTCTTGTAGTAGAGATTTCCTTTTTATTTTATTTTTTATTTTTCCTTCTTGTCTTAGTTTTCCAGTTGGATTGTATAACATAGAGCAGACTTGATATCTTTGTTATAATTTTGGTAATATACTTTTGGCATAGAATTGATCAAGTTCTTAAAGAGCATTGTGCTAGGCATTAAATGGATATTTAAGGATTATCATATGACTTGACTGAAGATTTGCCTGTGTCTATAGCAATGCTTTTCAACGGTGGGGCAACCCAGACCAACTAAGTCAGTATCCATTTGGTAGAATGGATAGGCATCAGTGTTTTTGAAAGCTTCTAGGTGATTCTAATATGTAGCCAATGCTCATAGGGCTAATATATATATCAGAGTTGTAGGCGCCTACTCTATGTATGGAAATAGTTCATTTCTTATGTCATTGAATGTAGGTGTAACAGGTTTATACTAAAGCAGGGCAGTACTGGTGGACATAGTTCACGCAGCTCATTGATGAACAGTGACTGCTTAAGTGTTATTTCATCCTTTTTGTTTTTGGTTTTCCTCACCTTGTAGTATCTAATGCTCATTTGGCTCCCATTTCCTGTGACCCATTTCCTGGTCAAATTCCATTCCTGGTACCTTTGTGATGTTGGGCATTAAACTCTGGC